ACTTATGTTAATCAGGAACTTAATTATTCATGTTACTTCATCGAGTGCAACGACTAATAACACCTGCTCGAACTTCCTTTGGCTGAGCAACTAACTCCCCCCTCCCGCTGAGGAATACCGATGCTGAACAGAATCTTGCATGCAAATTTCTCCTCTTGCTAACATGTTTTTAATTTTTTTCTGAGATGAGCGAATGTTCACATTTCCTTCAAAAGTCTCAGCATGCTGGACCGACCAATAAGAAGTTGTGTGACGGCCACACACAACTACGCCTGTGACTGATAGGGGGCAGCAGCCTGGCTCACCTGTGCAGCTCTGCAGGTGACACGTTCCCTCACTTAACCTGCTCCGCTCAGGGTCTTCCCCATCAACCCCACACCTTTCAGGTGTCGCAAAGCGCTGAAGTCATTCCTTTTCAGAACGAGGCCGCACACACCAGCGGCACCATGCTGTCCTGTGCTAGGCAGCACACGGCTACCTACAACCTTTCCCGCATCCAAGTGACAGGCCTGGAAGCAGCCGGGGAGGAAAGAGAAGCCGTCGCACGCATCCTCCCAGAGCCTGGCTGTCTGGGGAGGGGAGGCCGGGGTGCGGGTGCACACTGACACCGAAACCAAAAAAGAAATTTCGGCAGCTCTTCCGTTTCCGGTTCTTTTCTTTATTTAGGAAAACCAGGTCTACGGAGTGGTCCTTCGTTTTGAAGTTTTGCAAACTACCAGAAACGACAGGAAACGTTTGATGAAAGGAAGACTTCCACGTGTGCATCCAGGAGCAAGGACTTGTGTCCCAAGACGCTGCCTTTGTCAAAAGAAACCCTTCAGCCCTGACATAGGGGTTGTGAGGCCCCCGGGGCCGCAAAGAGAAGTGACAGCAGCAGCCACCGCCCCTGTTGCATGCTTCCTGCCAGGCCCTGCCTGAAGCAGCGCACAGAGTGGTGACAGTTATCAGTACCCGCTCTGAGTCGGCAGGCCTGGAGCTGAACTAGCCCCACTGCCTGCTGGCTGTGAAGACCTAGAAAAGTCCCCTGGCCTTTGTGGGCTTCAGCTTCCTCTTTATTTGTAAGTGGAGAGAACGAACCGCCTCATGAGGCCATGGCCATGGTTGGGGAAGACGTCCACAGGAAGCGCGTGGCAGGGCTGATGCAGCAGGGTTCAGGAAATGCCACCTATGGGTACCAAGTGTCCAACGTCTGCAGAAGAGCTAGGATCCAGCAGTGTGAGCCCGGCTCAGGGTAAGGTTAAAAGCACCAGAGGCCCCCACCGGGAGGAAGTGAGGGCCAGGGTCAGCGGAGGGGCGGGGACAGTCCTGCTTGGCCCACTAGAGCCCACCCCTTCTCCTCCCGGGAAGATGCTGGGCCAGCTGCAGCAGATAATAAAAAGATGGGAGGACCAGCAACGATGGTGCCTTGGTAAGCTCTATCACACAGACGTAGAAATGAAACAATTGGGTTAAAATTATAAGTGAATCGTCACTATAGTAACTTAAGGTAAATTTCGTCTCTACGACAAAGTAGTCATTCTTTAGATTCGAGGCGAAACTGCTTTAAAGCTGTCAAGTTACAACATTAAGGAGAAACCACTAGAAACTCTGCCACCCCTCCCCCCATGAATGGAGGAGTCTCAGGATATACATTTTGATTTTGTGTGGTGGGGATCTTGTTCGTTTGTTTTTGGTTGATTTGTTTTGGAGTTTGGCTGGGGGACGGGCATTTTAGTAGTAGCCAACAACAGAATACATGGCAATTCTGAATTATTAAATCTTGGATTTAGTCAAAATAATGCTAGAACTTAGGAGAAAGAAGTTAACTGAATTTTATCTAGGTAGCCTGAGCAGTGAAAGTTCTAGTAAATCCACTCCAGGAACATAAGCTGCTTTATTTGAGAAAACAAACTAAAGTGTGGGTGGCCCGGAGTTAAAACTGCAAGGCGACAAAACCTGCCCTCCTGCCTGCCCCGCGTCTAACGTCGGGCAGACGTAACCGGCTTATTTCGACAGCAGGTCAGTAATTCGCTCCTTTTGGGCTCTGGGCCTCCAAGACTGATACTTTTAAACACAAACAGAGACTTCGAGAACAGTGGCATATGAGTAACCAGTCACCCGCAGTTCCTCTGCTGAGTCACACAGCCCGATGTTTCAGGGCTAAGAAATCCCTCTGGAACACTGCCTTTTGAGGAGCAAAGACCACAGGACGCTGAGCCTCGCAATCCCGAGAAGTGACATAAGGACCTGGCTCTCATCAGGTACTGCTCTCACTGACTTCACTAGAAAAGTTTTACAACTATAAATAACTTGATTTCCTGTGCTCTGTATAATTGGCAGCTTAGACTACAGGGTTTATTTTTTTTTTTTTTTTTTTGCTAAGGAGGCTTCTGCAGGGTGATACGAGTTCAAGCTGAACAGAAACTAACTCTTAAAGAAAAAAGGGGAATTTAGTTCCATCTTTGCCCTAATGGGAAAAGAAGTAACTCAGTATTTTTATGTCTTAACTGCTTAAGGAAATGACCCATCTAAGGCAAACCATGTGATCCCAGGGCTCAAAATCCCAGAGCGAGATCTGCAGGACCAGCCACCTGAGCCCACTTTCATCCGTCAATGCTCCACCTGCTGAGACCTGGGGAGCCTGGCACAGGTCCCTACCTGAGATGGGACTTGGAGACCACACGCGCTCTACCCTGCCAGCCTCTCAGGACAGGTCGGGTGGTTTTGTCAGGGCTTCCCGCTAAGCGGTATGTGGAAAGCTACCAGAGGTGACACAACCTATCTCAAACATGGGGAAGTTACAAGAGTTACAAAAACGGTGGTTTCTACCGTGTCCGCCCACATGGCTCCAGGGCTGGCACTGCCATGGAGAGGAGCGAGGCCTCCTGCTCAGATCCAGCTCTCGCTCTGCTAGGTGAGGTGGAGCTGTGGACGACTTGGCTTCCTCCTGCCGACTGCGGCCACGTGCCCCCTGCCCCTTGTTACCCCATGGAGACCCCTGTTCCCGGGACACGGGGTCCCTTAATGCAGAACACAACGGCCACAAACCAGTCTCAACGTCACTAGTCTCCGCCTGGGACACTGCACCGCCCAGGGTGGCTGCAGGTGCCTCCGGGCTAAAGGTCGCCCGCCTCCATCTGTCCCCACGCTGGTCACTGAGCACGCTTCCTTTCCAACAAGACCGCTCACCTCGTAAAACGGGCCAACACTTCTGTTCCCACGTCCCACTCTAAAAAAGTTTTGCTACTATTTACCGAAAAAAGCCTCCCCCGGGTTCACGGTTTCTTACCGCAAACCGCTGGGACCGAACGCGTTACAGAATTCAACATTTATGGATTTCAGAAGGGCAATAAAGACGCACCCACTACATATTCTGTAACGACAGCCCTTAATGAAATCCGTTACCAGGGCTGCCGAGAGGCGTATGAACTACTCACACTAAAGGGATGAAGGCCGATAACACCCTCCCATTGGCCAGGCAGGTCTCACGGCCAAATGAATTCTGCCACAAGCTTACTAAAGCAAAACAAAACACTGTTGCAGTTTTCAGAGTTTGCTGGATCCTGGAACTGGGGCTAGGGGGCTGAGGGATGCTGGGCCGGTGCTGATGGAGGGAGCACCTTCTCAATCAGAACCCGGTCCAGACTCCCCTCTCTACTGCTGGCAGCATCTCTGTGAGGCAGGCATCTCAGCCAGGCCCCAGCCGAGGCTGAAGGAGCTCCTGAAGCCAGAGCTCCGCCTCCAGGCGTTATCCCTCCTCCCTCACATCCTTGTTCTCCCTGTGGACTCCCTTCTTCTCCAAGGACTCCCGCCCAGAGTTCATTCCTCGCCTTGTTCTCGCCACCTTGGGACCGCCCGGCATCTCTTAGCAGCCTGCCGCCCTTCCTTCTTCCAAGGGCCCTTCCCTGATTGTGATTCTAGCTTCCTCTGTAGGTTCCTAGCCCCCCAGAAACCCATTAGGTTACAGGGCAGGAACCAGCTCCGGTCCAGCCCACGGCGGGAACTTGAGGTAAGGTCAGGGAAGCAGCACACTACGGGGAACAGAACTTTCACGCGCGCATCCATCAGCCTCTTTCCATCTCTCTCCCCGGCATCTCCCGGGAAGCTCCTCCGAGGCCAGGGCAGTGTTTTCATCTTGAAACTTCCACAGACACCCAGTAGGTGATTCATTCCTACCTGGGGAAGGAGCGGTTGTTTAGGGCTCACACTTTTGTCAACTTCCCACAGGGGCCTAAGGAAGGGGAGACCAGGGTCTCTGTAGCACTCACATCACAAAATGTTTCTTTCCAAAGTGTGACTTCACCTTGAGATATTCCCATTCATGATCAACCGGAAGCTGCACGAAAACGGGTAATTTCCACCTTCCCCGCCTCGCCCCCTGCTCAATCTTAGCCCCGAACTACCCCCACATCCAAGGCCCTAGCCCTAAGTGTTAGGCAGGATAACAGACATCCCCGTGGAGGGTCCAGTGCGGACCCAGAGACCCCGGGAGACCAGCCTAAGTCAAGCTGGGGGCTGGTGTCCTTGGGGGAGGTGAGAAATCGGTTCTAGTCCTCAGGGTCCCAAGGTCCAGGGCTGGGCAGGCCCTCCAAACATGCCAGCCACCGTCAGTGCGGGCCTCGGGCAGGGGGCACAGGCGCTGGGCACGGCTCCTGGGTGCCGCACTTCGTAAAATACCGCACAAGCGGCTCCGAGTGAAACTCCAGCCCACGAGCAGGTCTCAGGGCCGAGTCACCCGGCCGGGCAGAGCCACCGCTACACACAGAGGGCGGCGAGCACGTCCCTTTCCGTCCTGGGGAGGGCGTCGTCCAGCGAAACGTGCCTCGCAGCGCGCACGGAGCCGCGAGCCCCGCGGAGGGCTGGGCCCGCTGCCGCCGCGCACCTCGCGTGGGGACCGCCGTTTAAGGGGGCCCCCGCCCCACACCGGCCGAAGGTGCCGGCTGCCCTTGACCTCAGAACATCAGCAAGGACGGAACGTTCGCGGTCGCAGCCCAAAGCCTCCAAGCCCGCTTTCCCCTTACCAGCCTCTGCGCTTCTGGGCTCAGACAGTCTATCTCCTTGTCCTGCGTGGCCGCGGGGTTGGTCATCCTGCCCGCCTTCGCGTCCACCTCGCGCGCAGCCACGAAAGGTACTCAGTGGCCGCCGAGCTGTCGTGTCCGCGGGCGGCCGCTCAGCACCGGCGCATCGCGAGCGGCGGGTCACGGTGCAGGGACGCAAGTCCGCGTC